TTGATTATCATTCTTTTGCTTTTATCATTTCTTTACTAGCCGCGTATCACGATTTTACACATGTGATGAATTAGACAGGCAAACATTTAAATATATAATATCCATTGTGGTTGTATAAAATGACCACGTCATTCACGTCGATTGTATGCTAATTTTTCATGCACTCCTCTGTACTCTTACCACCAGGTAGTCAAGTCTATTCATGAACTATTTTTTCGGTTTTTTTATCAAGATGTTATTGAATAAGATCACGAGATTCTCATTAATTATATTGTACCCCAGCAGTTAATATTAACAAGTATTTTAAAAATAATAATACTCTCAGAAGTCACATACTTTTATAGCAAAGTAAAAATGATTTATGCATTTAGACCGTGAATTTTTTAGCAAAAAGTTTAAAATTTTTCAATATTTCTGATAAAATCCACCCTTTTTTTTACAACAGGCTGTCAAGGATCATACTATCCATGCTTTGAATTATTTTTAATCCTCAAAACTTAAGGTTGTAGTGTTGATGTTAATGCAAATGTCCAATGTCAAATAAAAAGTCTCATTTTGATTTATATAGTAGATTTACCTACTTTTGTACAATTTTTTTTTATTACTAATTTAATTCTTAAAGAAAACTAAAAAATTTTCAGATGTCTGCTGATTTTTCATTAATAATTAAGGATATTTGTATTAATATAACTTTTTTTTGAATATTTTTTATGACAAAAATTTCTGAAGAAAATTTTAAGTTAAATGAACAATAAAAAAATGTCTTTAGAAATAAAAAATTCTATTTCAACGAATTAAGGTTTATTTTTTGATTAAAAATCGAAGATAAAAAAAGTTATAAGAGATCCTTCGTTTAGGCAATTGGACTTCTACAAAAATTATTTTTTACTAACTCAATCTTTTTACATTTAGGATGAATGTAAGTAATAAAAACAATAAAATTTAATCATTGTATTAAAAAAAAAACTTCTTCATCAGAGGACTAATTTTCTTGACTCAAAAAAATATTTAAAACAAAGAAAATTCTTTTGACTGAATCGGAACTTCCACTGTGGAAGTTTATTAAGCCGAGCAAATTTTCTTGTCTCAATAAAATTTCTTCGAGCTTGAAAAAAACTCAAGACTTCTGAAAAACAGACAATAATTAATACACAACTTATTAATTCATAAAGCAGTGGGTGACTACTTGACAAAGAATTTACCGCATGGAGTAGAAGAATCGCGACTAGCAGCGGCGCGGGGATTCCTTGAAAAAGTTTAAGAGTTTACGGTAGGTGAGCGTAAGAAACTAGGTTACTGCAACAGGTGGGCATTAAAGTAAATATACGCACATTACGCGGTCATTTATCGTCTCTGCAACACCGTCTTGACACCTCATTTAGTTGGAATACGTCTGAATTAATTAATCAAAGACACATTTCCGATCAGTAATCAGAATCAAGATCAATTCTGATGCGACATAACACATTATGTTCTCATCTGCCGAACCGGGAAGTTCTAAATAAAGATGTACTCATAAATTGATATTTAATTGGTCAATGTGTTGAAAGTAAGTGGAAAATTTCATAATAAGCTGTCATTAACTGATACTTGGAAGTCGTTTTACCGAGCAATAAGCTATAAGTGAGTAAAGTGAGGCAAGCGACGAAACATCCGCACCTGTGTACATCATTAAAACGCATCGTTTAATATTAATAACGCAGTGTCTTTAACGAGAGACAGTAACACCCTGAGCAACTTGTAAACTCACTTTGTTACGACTTGTTGAAAAGAGTTACGGCTAAATATACAGAGACCTCATAATAAATTTTTATTGCCTCTCAAAAATAATTTTTATCGTCACTTCTCTCTCCCCAGCCTTTTTGTCCGCTGCCCTGCTTTAGCGTTATTATATTTAAATATTTATATTTATATGACACTGAATAAAATTTTATTATTCAATAAACAATAATTTAATTACTTATATTCGAAATAAAGAGATTACTGATGATTTTATTTTACATTTCACACTGCCCACGTTTTTCCTACTTCATATTTTATATTTTGTATGCGATAAAAATAATTCAACGCAATTTATTTTTATATTTAATTAATTCGTGGACTTTGGTTGACTTTTTTTGTTACAGTGAAAAATTTTTCATAGAAAATGAAGCCAAAAAATTATACACGGTCGATATAGTGAAAAATTTTGATAGTGTGATTTAAGGGTGTAAAATTTTCACTAGAGTTGAAATGACAAATGACTTCCCAAAAAATTTCAACCCCGTTGACAAAAATTTTTTCATCGATAAAATTAATCGACAAATTGGGTATTGATTTTTTGTAATTTGAAAAAATAATATTCCGAGTGCCCCTAGTTATTATATTTCATCCACCGATAAATCACAAGTGTACGAGATTAAAAAAAGGTAGTGAAAATAGCATGCCCAGAGTTTGGCGTTTCCCTCACCCTCATCAGCCAGCAAATCAAAAGGGTAAAGTGAGCGGACGTATACGTAGGAGTGTAGAGTGCGTAATATGTGGTCCGGGTGAGGAAAGGGGTGAGGGTATAAGAGTATGAAACCCCTTTTGAAGAGCTCGAGCTCTAACGTTCGATAAGCCGGGTACCCTTTCCCCAGCGGATTCGCACAAAGGCCTAATTACCCATAAATTGTCTGATTTACGACGGTCTAGAAATGTAAATATGAAATATGAAAATGAGGATGGCTGTAATAAAAGTGATGTACGAGACTCTGTAGGGTCGTTGGTGGAAGCGTCCATCATGCCTGTTTGTGATGGGGGTGTCTTTGTTTCGCACCCGAAACCCATTTTCCGTTTCTCTTCTCAAAACTACTCTAAATATACTCCATATGGATATGAACTACTCTACCCACCTACTCTTCTAAATGCCGGTTTAATTGTCATTATTATTAGCGTTTTCATTATCATCATAATATTAAATCATAATTAAAAAAAAAATAAATGATGTCATTTAATTAATTATTTAAACACCCTCAAATGACGTTCATTAAAAAACCAAAAAATAATTTTTATTGTTTAATATTTAAAAAAATTTTTCTATCCACTAAAGAACATTTATTATCATTAAAAATATTTATTCTTTTGTGATATCTAAAAAAAAAATAACAGGATTGTTATAACTAAGCGAAATCAATATCACAGAGCAAAACTAGCGTTTGCATTTAAATTACGCGCGCTTTTTAATGTGCCATCGATGTACGTCATTTTTCAGATTGCGAACTTTATAATCAAATTATTTTATTTTTGCCTTAAATCTCTGACCGGTAATTATTTAAAATTAATTTTATCATTAAAAATGCATTATTAAAATTAAAATTTCATATATTATGGTCTGCAGAAATATAATAAAAACTTTTCAAGAAATGACCAGTCAAATAAATACCATGCAGCAGAAAATAATGATCAAACTAATTGCGGCAAATTAGTATAAAATGAAGAGCAAAATAAAAAAGTTTAATCGGTGTAGTATATATTATAGTATTTCTTTTATATTTTTCTCGTCATTTTATTATATCATTTTATTATCTTGAGTTATATTAATGTCAACCTATAAGGGCTGTTTATAGTATTTTCCAAGATCGAATTTAAAATCTAAAAGCACTACAATGCCAGTAAATTCACGTCCACGGTATAGCATAATCGTAGAATGTTATGTTTCTGCCAGTACAGTACAGGGTATATATATATATATATATGTATATAGAAACATATATTTATAAATAGTCGGGCGCATTGAGAACGGACTGAAATCTTGACGGTAAACGGAAGAAAACCAGTAAATCGTACCGAAAGTCAAGCCATTTAAAGCAATAAACGGCAAGCACATTGCTCTAAACCTACTGGCATTTGCCATGATCGTGTTATTTAACGACAACTAGTTTATCCCGATATTAGCTTCTTATAGCGTTCAAACTTGCATATATTTTTACTGTACTTAACACTTTAATTAGTAATTATCGTAAGTTACACCGTGAAAATTTTATGCTATTACTTTTTATTTACATTATTTCGCTAGGGGATATATACGCGAACTTTATTTACTTTTAATAAAAAAGTATTTTTTCCATGATCGGTAAATTGTTAAATGGTTAATAATTTTTTATGAGCTAACTAATTTCTTTCTTGTTTTTAATTTACTTTTACAGTAAAAGGCAAATTCTTATAAGGTTCGCTTCAAAGTATAGAAAATTTATTTCTGTGATGATATCAATAAAACTTGATGTGACAAAATTGCTTTAAAGAAATTAAAAATCGTGAAAATAAAATTATTTATCTTCAAATTTTCAATACTCTTTTTAGTCCTTCAATTATTTTTTCTAATTATAAGCAATAATTTATTCAAAATCAATTAATTTATTATGCTTGTAAGTAATTAGTTTAATTTAACTGTTCTATCAAGAAACAAGGGTAATTGTATTTGAATGGTAAAAATATATTCTCAAAAAATTCAATTTCAATAAAGTCTTATTTCTAATTAAAGGATTTAACTTTTATTTCAATAACTAATCATACGAAAAGTATGATAGACCTCTGAAAAATTAATTAATTAATTAATTAATAGAAAAACGAAATCAAGTAATAAAAAATTCAATTTTTTCATTGATAAAAAATTCTAGGCATAAAACAATTTTCATTGTTTTTCCGTATTTTATACAAGCTTCTTTACCAAAACTATTCAATTGTCAAAGTGCGAATTCAACCTATCGAAAGCTGGTAGTTCAACTCTAAATCAAAGGGTGCAACTAGAATTCAAAGCGACCAGTCTTCGGTCTCTTTTCATCCACCCCTAATAAAATCCTATATTTACTTACTGACATTACCGACAATCGGACAATTACTTTCATGTACCTTCCATAGAGGGCGGCTTTAACTTAAAAATCAAACTCTCTGATAATAAAACAGGAGTTTGTTTTTGTTTACTAATAAATTGGTGTTGATTTAAAATAAAAGCTGCTATAATTACATAAATTTAATTAAATATGGATGATCTGCCCGACCACAACAAACAATTAGAAGATTTAAAATTATTTACTGAAGATGTAGACAAAAAATTAAACGAAGTCACATCTTTTTTAGGATGGAGCGTGGACAGTTTAAGCGATGTAAGACTATTTATTTATTAAAAACTATCTTATAAATAATTAATTCAATTATTATTTTTTTTTATAGTTTACACCGCCAATTACTTGTCCCTTCGACAATGCGCATCATTTATCGGAGAAGAAATTAAAAGATCACCTGGAAAAATGTCAATGGAAGGCAGAAGGTTATGCAGAGACAGATTTGCCTTTATCTTGGCCAACTCTACCAGAAAATTCTCCCTTTTGCATACAAATAAGTAATTAATAAATGAAAAATTTTTAATTACTTTAAAAATGCGTCAAATTATAATTTTATTTAATTTTTTCAGCCGAAAACTTGCAGGATGAAATTCTTAAGTCAGCGAAACTGAATAATCCTTCGTTAGCAGTAGGTCAGCAGAAAATTAATATTTTTATTTAAATCACACCGCAATTTATAGTTAAACTATACGTTAATTGTTTTCAGAGTTTTCTATGAATTTTTTAACTTGAACTGGACTTGCAATATCCTTTTTCATATCCTTTTTAAGAAAGTATCTTTTTGATACTTGATAAATCTAGTTTTGTTTGTTAATTAATAATTGAATTGTTGGCTCGTTAATTATTAATTCATGCACAGTTTGATAGCTAATAATTTGAAATTTTATTTTTAATTAATTAATTAATTAGTAATTATTATTTCTTAACACTTACAACAGGTACGGGAAATCGATTAATACCCCGCACTTCTGACAGGCTTATCGCTGATTTCACTCCTGATGAACGAAGAGCGCTTTATGAATATTATCTGGCGAATACTGTCCAACCAGACATTGGAGAAGATATTGCTGACCTGAATAAACCGTAAGAATATTTTTTAATTATTATTTATTGTCAAATTAAAGTAGCTAACAAAAGATAATTTTGGAGATTTATAAAGAAGAAGTTTTTTAAAATATAATCATAAATATTTTTAATATCGAAATTAGTATACTTAAATAATAAGAACTAGCAACCTTGCAGTTACCATGTGACTGCCGTGACTTGTGAAATATAAATAAATAAAATTTTGCTTTATTAAATAATGACTTTTGTAAAATTGCACTGTACTTTCTTAACTATTGACGTTTTTAAAGATATAAACTCATCCCGATGTTGCACTCATCAAGAGCTTTCATTTGAGTACCCACATGCATTTTGATATATTTTTCATATATACATATATGTATTATATATAAATATATGAAAAATTGATGTGGGTACTCAAATGAAAGGTCTCGATGAGTGTAATGCCAAGATGAGCTTATATCTTTGAAAATGTCAATAGTTCACAATGTACAAGGTCAATTCTTAATTATGTTAAATTGCACTGTACTTTCTTCACTATTAACATTTTTAAAGATATAAGCTCATTCCAATGTTACACTCATCAAGAGCTTTCATTCAACTAACCACATGCATTTTGTCATATTTTTCATGGATACATATATGTAATATATATAAATATATGAAAAATTGATGTGGGTACTCAAATGAAAGGTCTCGATGAGTGTAATACCGGGATGAGCTTATATCTTTAAAAATGTCAACAGTTTACAAGATACAAGGCCGTTTCTTAATTATGTATCTAGAAATAGAGCATTTTCGTTTTGCAATGACACTAAATTTCACTAAAAAAAAACCCATTTTATCATATCAACTATCCTGGACACAAAATTTTTTTTATTCTCTTAATAATCAATTATTTTTTTTTTTATTTAATTTTTTTCAACTAATCACAACTTATCCTTCATAATTGAAGAGAAATTGTTTTAATGAACTAAAACATGTAAAAATTTAAAGTATAACAATACAAATGAATAAAAATAAAAATTTTTTAATTCAATAAGTTGAAATTCCGTCAAACTTGACAGTATAAATTAAAAAGATATTCAAATTATCTAATTTGGACCATTATAGTATTAATAATAAATTAATTTTACAGGAAAAAAACTGAAGAGAAAAGAACATCATACTTGGAACTACTTGCCCATGAAAGAGATTTAAAACGACGTCGAGCTAAACACCGAGGAGTTCATACGAATAAAAAATCCCAGACAGAAATATTAAGAGAAGTTATCAACCAGCAGATGGAAATGCTGACAGAGTACATCGCTGAGAAGAATCACAATGGAGCGGCTGAAGTTAAAACGAAAGGTGTTAAAGTAGAGCGAGTAGACACCGATGAACTTAGGATAAAAGAGAGTCACAGAGAACGGAGACGAGATGATTTTGATAGACATAGATCCCATCGTTCTGACTCGAGCAGGGAAACTTCCAGACATCGGGATGATGATCGTCACAAGTACTCCAACTCCAGGCGCGACATAAAGACAGATACAGATAATGGGAGAAGTGGATCGCGTCACAGAGATTATGACTCTCATTCGAAGTATCACAAGAGAGAGGATAGACATCGACACCGGCACCATTCAGATGAACTTAACCATCCACATAGAAGTGATAAATATTCCAAGCATGAGAAGCGCGAAAGACACAGGTCGCGTGACCGAGATTCGGATCATAAATCTTATAAAAAATATAAATATGATGATGAAAAACATGAAAATGATGGTGATAAATATAAATATGATAAAAAATCACACAGAAGACATTGATCAAGTTGCAAATAAATAAATGCTATTTGTATTTATTTAAAATTAGTTATTGATTTATTTATTTTAAATTCATTTATCGATTTTTAGTTTATAATTAATTATAAATGCTTATTACTTGTTAACTTTATTTCTATGCTTAATAACTGATAATAATACTTATAACAATAATAATATTGAAATTAGCAGACATCTGATGATTTTTCAATTTTTTTTTAATTAACAAATTATAAGAAAAAGTTGCATTTGTCGTTTTTTATATTTCTGTGCAAACATTTTTTTTTTAATCGTCGATAAAAATCAAAAAATTTTCTTCTATTTTTACACATCATAATTAAGGTAAAAGACCCAGTTATTGACACTTGCAATTATATTTTCATTAAAAAAAAAAAATCAACTCTCATAAATTCATAAATATAATTTTTAAGATAATTAATTTTTTGAGAACATTTTATTTTTTAATTAGAATAAAATTGCAAGTGTTAAATAACTAGGTCAGTGTCAATAACTGGGTCTTTTACCTTAGCAAATTTTTTTTTTTGATAAATTATGTCACAAATAAGTAAAAAATTTTGTTCCACTGTCAGAGTTAACCAGGTGAAAATTTTTATAACTTATTTACAAAAAAAAAAAATCACTAAGTGTTCTATTTTCAACATGATAAATCATAAATTAGCCTAAACATCAGTAGAATTATCTGGTAGAGTAATCGTATAAGTAGCTTCATTTTGATTAGGTCTCTGAAGCGAGTGAGCAACTAACTTAGCCATAGAACTGAACAATTCAGCGGCTTTGCGTCCAACTTCCAGGATGAAGGAGTTATTCTTGGTATCGAGCCTCTGAAGTTCACCGTAAACTTTCTCGCACTCATTGTCTTCAGCCGGGTGCTCGTGAACGTAGAGCGCGTCCAGAAAAACGTAAGGATGACGAACCAGCAAGTCGAAGTAAGTATTGTCCGATATACAGGTGACAGTCTGGGACCTGCCGTAGATGAGGATCACGCGGTTGACAAACTTGGGGATGCTCAGGAATTCTTCAAGCTCTAGGTTGTCCATGACCATCTTGAAGCAGGCCGACAAGTCGCAGATATTCTCGTTGTCATCCAGAGTTTGAGTCTCCATGACACCCCCCAGGCTGTTTATCACCAGCTTGATGTTGTTCGTGAAGTTGCAGATCCACTTGGGAACGTTACCGTTCAAGGACATCACCGCATACTCGTGACTGCGACCTATCGTCGACTTTGCGTGGACAAACATCTCGACGGCTTTCTTTATCAACGGCAAGGGCACGAATTTTTTGCCCGACTCTAACTCAAAGGGTGTTACGATGCTCTCCTGGGTGGTGTCGATGATGAACAGAATTTTCTCTGGCACGTTGAGGATCAGCATTTTCGTCTCTAGCAGGTACTTTTTTTCCTCGATGGATACGTCTGCTTTGAGCTTCTCTTCTGAATGATGATCCATTGGACTCATTGGACTCATTGACATGGTGCTTTTCGAGCGATTTTCTTGGGGACTGTGGTTAGAGTTTGTTGAAAATGATTCTAACTTCTGGGTGATAACCGTCACTTCGTCACCAAATTCATTCTTAACTGACATTATTCAATTGTTTATTGATTGCTGTGATTGTGAATTTGGGAATTTTCTTTATTATTTATATACACTGTTGACTGTTTGTTTTTGTTTTCACTTCCACCTGCTCTCACTCTCACTGTGGCGAGATTTTAAATTTTAATTTGAAGGTTATGGATAGGTTCCAGAGCCCGCTTATGGAGAGAGTAGAGGACCCATACCCTCCATAATTCTGATTGCGCTTCTTGATTACGGTTGATAAAAATGACCAAGTCATCAGACATTTGAAATTTTTTTTTATTTTTATAAAAAATAATTATTTTTAAAAAGTTTACACTTGTAATTTTTTTTTTTAATTTTTAGATCTTAAAAATTAAATTAGCCGACATTTAAAAATTCTTATAATCTATTTTATTGAAAAAATAATTTTAAATAAATTTTTTATTAATTTTACATTTGTAAAAAAGTTTAAAATCTATAAGTGCAATTTTTAAGAAATATTTTTTTGTTCTAATTTAATAAATTAAGCTAAATCAATAATGTCGACTAACTTTATTGTAATTATTCTAATTATTTAATTGTTATAAAATTAAAAAAAAATGAAAGATGTCTATTACGGATTTATAATTGAAAAATTTATACTTACTAGGAATAAAATTATTTTTCTTGATCAATAAAATGATATAACTGGTTATTTAAAGTGATACTAAAATCAGGAGACGTCTGACAATTTTTTTAATTTTTATAAGAAAAAAAATATTTTTTAAAAATTTCCACGTAAATTTTCTTTAATTTTTAAATGAAGAATTTTTTTATTATAATTTAGTTATAAAAATCCAAAAAATTGACAACTGTTGTTTAATTTTAGTATCATTATTAAAAAACAATGATATGACACGGAAATTATAGATCAGATAAATTTTTAATTTTTCTCATAAGAAAACGTTAAAAATAATTTTTCTATTTTTTTATAATTTGTATAATGTTTAATAAAAAAAAAAAAAAGGATAATGTTTTAATAAAAAAATTAAACTCACCAATTAATCGAGCTAACGAATAAAAAATGGCTTGTCTAATGGTGGACCCGAGGGTATTTCATAAGAATATACGCAGCAGTTTTAATTGATGAAAATTAAGCTACTAAATTGTTATTAACGAAAATATTGACTCACTGAACATTAAATTGAACAAAAACTATAAATTTTATAAAAAATTAAAGAAATAAACGGACTTGTGACTTCATCTACCCGCGCGTTTTACCGAAGAGACAAGTGGCGGCTACCGGCTAAGAAGAAACTGCGTAGATTCCGCTCGCGCCGCCATCTTATTCAGCTCGCGCATGCGTGGAGATTAATGACGCAGTTGAGAATTTTCAAAGTTTTTATTTCAACGAATAAAACTTTAAGAATTAATGAGTTTTTAAATGTTATAAAATAAAATTTATAATTAATCTGAAGTGAATTTAGTAATTAAACTATTGAGATATATCAAGTTATTGAAAAATATGAAAATTGTGCTCCGGATTTTCTATTGGTTAAAATTAAAGCGCGCGCACAGTGTACAATGTAAATTATGACATTAAAGTTAACAGTCACTATTAGAGAATTTTTTAATTTTTTTTAACAAAAACAAATTTGTTAAAAAAAATACTTTTAAAAAATTGCATTTTTTGTTTTTTAAAATTTCTACATGTCAATTTTTGTTTCTAATTTTTTTTTGCCATAATTTATTAAAAAAAAAAAAATTCTAAAATTTATTGAATATCTGCTAAATTTATTTATGAAAATTAAGTTAGCCGATATTTAAAAATTTTTAGAATTTTTTTTTATTGAAAAAATGATTCCAAAAAAATAAAAAAAAAAAAATTTCACTTGTAAAAAATTTGAAAAACAACTGTAAGTGCAATTGGAAAAAAATATTTTTTAGTTCTAATTTAATAAATGAAGCACAATCAAAAAATTCAAAATGTCGGCTAACTTTATTATTATAATTTATTTTCATTTCAATTTTTTCGTATTGACAATTAATTTTTTTTTTTTTTTATTTGAACCCTGAAGTCTGTAAAAAGTCCACCAGCGGATCAACGACGCGGTAAGTAATTTCCTACTTACATTCCATAGATTGCTCTACATACCATCATGTCAATAGTAAGTACAGCAAGCAAAAAAAGTAATCAGCTGTCATTGACAATAATAAGTTTATAAATAGAAAAAACCAATTATAAATTACTCATATATATAACTTGTAATTGAATCATCTCATATCACTTAAATGTGTGACGTTCCTAAAAACCTAGATGTTTGCTATTTCCAAGCAAAAAACACTAATTACAGCACCTATTCTTAAAAATAATACTTAAAAAATAATTCCACCATGTAAAAGTGTTTCAACCTATTAAATAGAATATCTGTGTAAATTTCAAAAAGAAATGGAGGGCAAGAGAATATTACTGCTGTTGATAGCAATATCTTCTGTAAGTACAAGTGACATAACCTCGTCAATATTCGGAAACTTTCTCGAGTTTGTGCCAGCAGCCTTCGGAGATTTCAACTCTGATGAGCTGACGGACGTGTTTGTGCTGACAAAAGACTCAAAGACTTTAGAAATCCTGCTGGCGAATAATGACATTGAGCCAATTCTTCGACCATCAAACTTGACATGTTCCTTCAAGAACAGCATCACCAGCATAGTTCCCGGCGATTACGACGGTGACGTCTTCATGGATGTCCTGGTAACTACTCACGATCCTAGTTCAGACTTGACCCACGTCCACATTATCTGGGGCGGGATTGGAACCATCACTTGCTCCAACGAAACTGAGCCACTGATCAGCATGCGAGGCCAGCCTTTGGCTATCGACTACAACCAGGACATGATCATCGACCTTTTTGGGACAAACATAGAAGACAAGCGCGTGTTTTGGGTAAATCGCAACAGGACTAAGCCCGAAGTCGTTCGGATGGAAAAATTCAACGACCTTCCACTGGTACCAATTAAATCTCCACACTCAAATTCATTTTTGGATCTAAACGATGACTACTTGCCAGACTTGATGATCACCACGGAGGAAGCCTTTGAAATCTGGCACGGAATCCCCGGAGGGTTCAAGTACTCCAAGAGAGTAGAGTGGCCTTTTGGAGTCGTAAGCGCCGGCGGTCATGTTGGTCAGTCTCTGTACCTAGATGTCGAACTTAAAGGTTCGCTGGACTTGGTGGTACCACTGTGCTTCGACTATCAGTGCAGGAACTCGACCATCGTGTTGTACCGCGACGGCTGGCACGACCTGCAGATAAACTTCGCAGATATAAAAAAAGAACTCTGGGGTTTTGTCCCGCCAGACAAATGGAAGAACGTCATGTACACTGATGCGATAACTCTGCACACTGGAGACTTCAACATGGACGGGTACCCCGACCTCCTGGCGACCCTCCAGACCAACAAAGCTAAACAGACCAGAACGTTTCTGCTGGAAAATGTTGAATGCAAAATTTGCGAGGGAGTTAATCGGACTTTTGAAATCCACTGGGACGCCCTCAATCCTTTTAAAAATGAATCGGTGATGGGAGTTTTCTACGACTTTTATCAAGATGGAATCCTGGATGTTATCTTGGTGGAACACGACAAGGCTACTGGGCAGTACTACACTCGGGCTTTTAAAAACAGCCTGGACTACGATGCAAACTTTGTTAAGGTGATGGTTCTTACGGGACTCACCAATAGTAAATATCCGATTTCTCCTGGGTCTGTCGGAAAGAAGAAACGGACTTATGGTACTAATTTACCTGGACCGTCGATTGCTTATAAGACTACCACTCAAGAAGGTTATCCTCGGGGAGCTATTGCTGCGCAGCTACCTCAGAGCGCTCACTTTTCTTTGAATTTACCTTACACTACTTTTGGACTTGGTCGCATGCCGAATTATATTGAAATGTTGACTGTTGGGGTAATTTATTATTATTATAATTATTATTATTACCATAATTTATTTATTTATTTCTTGTACTAATGCTAAAAAAGGGTATAAAAATTTTTTTCTTCCAATGATCTTCAGAATGTTGGAACTGTAAAAATTTACTGAGTTAATGAAAAATAATTTTTTTTTATTACGCTCTTTTGACTTTAAGAAAAAAATAAATTTAAAAATCAAAAGAGCGTGAAAATTGAAAATTTTCGAAGATAGATTCATGGGATGCCAAAATGTCGAATTTAATTAAAGCTTTATTTTTTTTAATTTAAAAAAAATTAATCAGCTCTCGAATTTTTAATTTTCATAGCCCAAAGTTCAAAATATTCCATTTTTAAAGCGAAAAGTTAGAAAAAAATTTTTTTTATATCTATAAGGTCATTGAAAATTGCAAGAAAAATTTTTAATACGCCCTTTTGGAATTATCAACTGGATTTATTTTTAATATTGATAATTAATCTGTTGACATTGTTTTGATCTAGGTCGCAGGAAAGTACCGCGAGTGGCAGCAAATAATCCCAAATTCACAAATAGTGGTAATCCCAAACCCAATAACTGAAGCAAGCAAATGGAAAGTCCAATTATTCGTAACACCTAGTAAATTGATATTGCTAAGTGCCGCAGCACTAACAGGTACTTGCGGTCTGATATCGGCGATAATAATAGCACTCTACTGGAAGGAAAGACGAGAGGACAAAATAGAAAGACTGCAGGAAGCTCACAGATTCCATTTTGATGCTATGTAGAGTGAGATACTGTTTTTTTTTTACCTTTAACTGTTGTAATTATTTTATAATATATAATTTATTATTACTATGATAACTTTAAAATATTATATTGTAAAATAAATAATTATGTTTGATTACGTGGTAAAATCGATAATTTATTGAATAGTTTTGGACAATTGCATACAAAATAAGACTCGCGAATATATTTCATAATTTTACGGACGCACTTGAGCGTAAGTATTTGTTTAGTTGATTAATTTATTAATTTATTTTTAGTTTTAGTTTTAATATTATTATCATTATTATTAATATAATAAATAATCTTTCCTGGAGTGTATTTTGGTCTTGGTCGCTGTAAGTCGAAGCTGATGGTAACTAAACGATGACCTGCTACTGACATCGGTCATTTTTAATGGCAGGGTTTAAGTCGTTGAAGTAAGGGTGTGCCATCGCTTCGTCTGCTGATAATCTCAACGCTGGATTACATACTAATAATCTCTGTAATTAAAAAATTTTCATAAATCGAAAAATTAATTAAATATAGTTTAAGTTAAGAAAGTAAAGTGCAATTTAACATAATTAAGAATTGACCTTGTATATTGTGAACTATTGACATTTTCAAAGATATAAGCTCATCCTGACATTACACTCATCAAGACCTTTCATTTGAGTACCCACATCAATTTTTCATATATTTATATATATTATATATATATATATATATATGAAAAATATATCAAAAATGCAAGTGGGTACTCAAATGAAAG